TGTATTGCTGAAAACTTAGGAGAAGTTTTTAAAATAAGAAGTAAGATCTTCTGTCATTTAATTTTAATTAGCTGTACAGTGAATATAACTTGGTTTCTTTTCCAGATAATCATGATATTATTTCAATGAAGCTATTTCAGTTGATGGTGGAACATTCCCCAGAGGACGAAAACATTGACTGGACAAAGATTGAGCCCAGCGTCAGTCTTTTCAAATCACCCAAAGGTGATTTCATAATGCTTCTACCCTGAATGTTCAATGAAGCAAATGGGAGAGCAGCAAGCATTACTTTCCTAAAAGTACTTCACTTTTGAAGCTATAGACTAATGAAGGCAATCTTTTTGGTTTAGGTACCAGGTGATCAAATAACTATAAACTAGTTATATATTTATTGGATTTATACTGATATCCAACGTAAACACTGAGTTTAGGTGGCATACAAGAGAAACCTCTGTCAAACGTCTGCACTTGCCATATTTAGGTTTTCTTATATTGAATTTTTGAAAACTATTCATAAATAGTAAATATGCATTCAGATTTGCAAGGAGATATTCTGTTTAACTTTTACCATATAGACATTGGTACAATAGAACCAGTATCTGTTTACTTAGATTTATTTAAACATATAATTTGACCAGGAATGCCTATACTTTTGTCTGCAATTATGTATGCTGCGTTGAAGCAGTTAAAGGGCTCACCATAGTGTCTCAGCTGGACCAGAATCTTAAAGAGCAAAGTTTAAAATTCTGTTTCAGTTTATTTCTCCTCATTACCCAGCGAATGATTATTAGCTGTTCTGCAAAGAAATTTGGGAGGGTTTTCACAACCTCTGGAGAGTCAGCTATTCTATGTAATCTGCCTAATCCAGAATTTTGCTAATCTATATTAAATTATTCTTTATGTAGCAGAAGGATGTAATATGTACTATAACTCAGCTTTCTATTTTTTTTCTCTTCAGATAATGTAGATGATCCAACAGGAAACTTTCGTAGTGGGCCCTTGACAGGCTGGAAAGTGTTCTTACTATTACTATGTTCTCTACTTGGCATCATTGTATGTGCTGTGGTGGGGGCTGTGGTTTTCCAGAAACGCCAGGAGCGGAACAAGCGGTTTTACTAAGGTGTAAGAGGCAGAAATTTGGGGCAGCTGGGGATGTTTTTTTTACAAGGGGAGGGAGAATTGTATAGACTCTGGTTTCTAAAAGGCTGTTTCAGAGAAATGTATGGAATATTTTCATATCCCTTTTTTTTCTTGGCAACAATAAGCAATTGTGCCACACAATCTGGAGTATAAATTGTACTGTACTTGGGAGCCTGCCATTTTGAAAGCTGTATGGAAACTTCAGTCCTTCTATAAAATCTTTTTATGGAAAACAGGCAAATAACAGTATAGTTAAAACTTAGAAAATGTTGCTTCTTCTCTGAGAGGCATGTTTTGCACTTCAGATAGTATTTCCAAAGTTACTCTTAAGAGTATTTTGGTAGTTCAGCTATGCGGAGGGTGGTTTTCTTGCTGTGGCCTATAAACTTAATTCAAGAAAATTATTTTTTTGAACTGAATGTATTTCATAGTTTCACTTATTCCGAAACCTTTTTTTAATACCAGCTATTTCTGTTTCGCTGGGAGTGAAACTGACTTGCACCAAAACAACTGGCATCCATGAAATGTGATATCTGTGACTGCATTGGCTTGAGAGAGCGGGGGCTTGATTTTTTCTAGACAATATGGACTATTTGCCCCATTTATTAAACATCTAAACTAGTTGATTCTAATGGCAGAATTGAAGTGTATCATAGCCACATTGTTATGTGTGCATATGGAAGATGATAAATTGAAGAAAGACAATGTGAAATAAAATGGAAAATTTATCCTGGTGGTTTGTCTTAATTTTATGCTTAATAATGAATGGTGGATGGGCTGCATTTGGTACTAATAGATTGGGGAGGAGCAAGGACCTAATTCCATGCTGGGGAAGTTTTAGGGATCAAAAAGTGTGAATAATGGAGCAATTCAGGGTTTTTAAAAAAAATATTTTTCACATGAACTATTTTCAGAGTTGCAGTACGGCTGTTAATATTATTGGTCCTGCCTTAAGCATAAAACCAGATGGTTGATCTTGGGCCAGTCACGATCTGGACCCTAGGAAAAAGGTAATGGCAAACCACTTAGGAAGCCGTTGTCAAAAAAAACTATATGGACTAGTTGGGGTAGTACCAGGAGTCAAAACTGATTCAACTACATGAAATAAATGCAATGAAATACATTTCTTTTTCATCTTCACAAGACCCAAAATAATCACATTTTGTAGCTGGCACAGGTAGTCGACTTGCAACAGCTCATTTAGTGACCATTCAAAGTTACGTTGGAAGAAATTTTCCCAGTTCGTTCCCAGCTGGGACACAGATACTGAGAAGAAATGGATGCAAAAGCCAGCTGCCAGAAAATGGAATTCTTTTAATGTAGGAAGGCAAGAAGCAAAAAGTGACACAGCTGGAGCGTTCTTGGCTTGCAAGCAATTTGAGAATGTGAATCTGAACCTTTTATGCTTAATTCCTCTTTGAAGTTCCTGCAGCTTGATGGGTTTTGATGGGTTACTGATTGCCCTGGGTTTGTTTTTCCTTTTAATCTTGGTCCCAGATCTTTAGTTTTTCAGGTCCTTGGGGTTTAATCCTGTTGGGCAGGAAAAAGGGAGTTTATTTTTGGTTCCACCACAAAACCGCGATGCCCTTATCCGTGCCGACATAAGTGCGGAGGCAAATCCGCGGCGTCCGAAGCGCTAATAAAAAACGACCCTACCGCCGCGACAACAGCGCGGTGACAGAAGGGTGTTCTACATGCTTCGTTGTTTGCCTCCAAAGGTAGCCCTCCTCCTCCAGCTGACAGCGGCAGCAGACACAGGGCAAAGCGGGCTGCCCAGCAGCAGCAGCCCGCGGGAAGGGTCCAGCACAGCCGCGGGGGGCATCAGGAAGCGGAGGAGGACGCGGCAGCGGCGGCGGCTGAGGCTCTCCCAGGCCGGCGAAGCGGGCTTGCCCGGCGGAGGCAGGCTGCCCTTTTCTTCCTCAACAACATCTCCTTGGACGGGCGGCCTCCGCCGCCGCGCCTCCCCC